CAAGATTTTGATATTCCACGCTACTTCAAACAAAAGAATAGGAAGGAAACTCTCTATCAATAATGGAAAGATCTATAACAGCTACTGGACTTGAGAACCCTATTTTCTTGAAACATTGTTTTAATATAAAATATTTTATAAATTTTAACCAACAGTAGTACTGGCTGTTCGGTCAACGAATATCGAATGTTTCCTTATAAGGAAACAACTAATATCTCCATTATCGCTCTTATGGCTTTCTCTTTCATTTTTTTTTTTGTCTGCTACCTTGGGAAAAGACAGTGGAATGGTTTCCTGTTAGTCTCATCACAGTTTTAAATTGACTGTCAATGAATGTCTAAGGTTTCCTGTATGGAAACGGCTATTTTTCATTGCCATTACTATGAATAAACATAAAGAAACTGGGAAGGAAATGAATTTGACTCTCAGATTCTAATTCCGCATCGATAACCATTATGATAACTTCACCTCTCGCTCAAGCAGTTGATCGATTGATTCATTTTTACGGCTTATCAACATTTTGTAGGTTATTTCAAGCCAGGAAATATTTTCAGGTTGTAAAAAAAACCTTTTCAGAGATAATAATGGTTTAGTGATACAAGTATTATTAATTACCCATTGTTGGGGTGAGAAGAGATGGATTCATACATTTCCCAAAGTATTTGCGTGTAGGGCTATATAACGAACCCAACCGGAGTTGGAACTTGGCTCTTCTATCTCCAATCCCGAGCCGTTATCAATTACACCGCCCGCACTTCGAAGCTTATAGCACCTTGTATTCCCAAGCAGTCACCCATCTAGGTACTCACCAGGCTTGACCTTGCTTAACTTTGGTAAATGAATGTCGAATATTTCCTGTATGGAAATGGATCTTTTTACCATTTTATTAATGCAAAGTAAGCCTATGGAGAAGGAACTTGAATTTGGACCTTCGATTCTAACATCCGCATCAATAACCATTGCGCTAATCGCACAGAAAATTGAAATTGTTAGAAAACATAATCAAGAAAGAGGGCTTGGAGAAATCGAAACTCACAGGACATGCTTGAAGCAAAAGAAGCAGAGAGAAACAAGGAATGACTGAAATGACAAAAGAGAGACGTGGAGGGACAGTAAGGAGACAAATATTGCTTAGAGCTATAACAAATCGGAAGCTGTGGAGGGACACGATCGTCCAAATCCTGAATGGGCATGGCTCATAATAGAAGGAGATATTTCAGGATCGCATGTTACTTGCTTTATTGCACAGTGTGAAACTTTGAAAAGTATTAAAATTATACTATTCTCATCTTCTTCATTTAACCAGCACAAAGCTCAAGAGCCACTCATGGTAGTGAGTTACTAAATGAAATGCATTATATAAATGTCAGAAGGGGCAGAAAATATTAAATATATAAAAAATGTTAACCCATAATTATTCTTGATTCAAGGGTTCTTTTAAAAAGCATTTCACCTCAAGCATGGAAATAAAGCCACTAAGTGGGGGTGGGGTACTGAGTATGGAAGAATAAGAAAGAGAAAAATAGTATTAAAGAGCGAGAACATTAAAATAAGAGGCATCAAAAAAGTAAGAAGAGTCGAAAGCAAGCGAAATAAAATTAGAAGACTTTAGTGAGGGGAAACGACAATAAAAGAAGAGGTATCAAGAAGACAGTGGATAACGATTGTCATTGCATCTAAATTTTTGAAGGTCAGAGAAAGCAAGAAGTCAGATGAGAGTCCCACCGGCGAGAAGTGCGAGAAAAGAAACAGCATAGAATTTAAGGTTTCATCTAGCCAATTCAAATTTTACTGAGATTATTAGAAATCTATGAAATGGTCAAGAATTATGGATGATGCTAATGGTTTAGTGATACAGGTATTATTAATTAACCCATTGTTGGGGTGAGAAGAGATGGATTCATACCTTTCCCAAAGGTATTTGCGCGTAAGGCTATATAACGAACCCAACTGTAGTTGGAACTTGGCTCTTCTATCTCCAATCCCGAGCCGTTATCAATTGCACCACCCGCACTTCCAAGCTTACAGCTTACGAAATGAGAGTCTCAAAGGCAAGAAGTTCGAGAAAAAAAAAAACAGCATAGAACTTATAGTTCCATTTAGCCAATTCAAATTTTACTGAGATTATTAGAAATCTAGGAAATTGTTAAGACTTATGGATTATGCTAACGGATCAATGCTTTAAAGCTGTAGAGAATATGAAAGAGGCTGCAGCGAGGACACTTGCATTTTTGAGGCAACCAGGAGACAGTCAAGATATCGATGGAGCGTCACAATCGAGGTCCTGCCTTGAAGAAGATCACGGTTTGTATTGTTTTGAAAGAAATGTCTTTCTCTTTTTGTATTTCTTTAAGGCATGGGTTGCTAGGAATCCCTTCACTGACTCCACCAGAACCTTTTTCAATCAAAACCAGGATCCCGAACACAACTGGAACTATTGATGTTTTCATATACCGCATTTTCTAAATTTCCACTTCAAGATCCTTGTATCAGCAGGAACGGTCATGTTAATAAGAAAGTACATTCTGTTTTTGATCACTCTGCCTGGATGGTTAGATTTGATTGTTCTGTCGGTGTGTATTAGAAAGTCTTACCATGGCCATCGAGACTTGACGGGCGAATGACAATATATCAATGGCGGTAATAATTCTCCTCGGCCTTTTGGCTGGGGGTTTTGACAATTAATGGATCGTTTCTTGGTGGAAGACTGAGATTCGATCAAGCTTTGACTAGCTTGGACTGGCTTCGGTCTGGACCTGTTAGGACAAGTTATGACCAGCTTTGACTAGGCTCTGACCAGCTTGGACAAGCTCTGACCAATATTTTGACCAGTGGCCTATGAGTGGAAACACTCGGGTCTCCCACGTTAATCGACCTTGTGTCATATCTTGATTTAGTGGGAATCAAGTAAATACCATTAGAAAGTCTTATAAAGTACTTACAGATCTTATGTCTCGGACCGGGTCTTGGTGGTCTTCATACCAATTTCTTACATAAATACTACTGATCTTTTAGTGTGTAAGAAATTCTGCAATTTAAGCTCCTTTTGGCTAATTTTGTAACGACCAATCTCATTGGTCGAATTTTGACTTGGTTTTTTCGCGGGCATTTTACAACGGCCCGCGCCCTTTTGACTTAGTTGTGGATTAGCATTGGAAGTGTCCGGACTCATTTTGAATCTATTTGTCAGGGCTATTAGCGCCCAAGCCTAAATAATTAGGCATTGAATGTCCTTCAGCAACCAAAATGTTAATGCTTCAGAGACAGTTGCGGATTATTATTGGAACGGTCCGGACTCAACTTTGAATTTCTTTGCACAGCCTTTTAAGTCCAAGCCTAATAATTAGGCATTGAAGATTCCTATCAGCAACCAAATGGTAATGCTTCAGTCGACTTCATGTCCCATCTTATTTCCTTCAAGGCTATAGAAGATTCCTTTCAGCAACCAAATGGTAATTGCTTCAGAGACGACGTCATGTTCCAGCATCTTATTTCCTTCAAGGCTGTATAATTCAGTCATTTATTGACTGTCGTCAAATGTGTACGTTTACACGAAGAACTTTATGAACAAACTCGACAAAAGCCGAGTTTCAACTTCAGCAATCGAAATGGTAATGCTCCAGCAACGACCAGCTAATGACAGCTTTTCTAACCTCGTAGTGACCGATTGTGTCCTGCAGAAGTAAAAGACACTACCTATCCATTGAAGAACTACCCTACCCTGTTCCCAGGGGCAAAAAAGGGCAAAATCTTTTTTTGCAAGGATACAATAAAGTTTTAAGGTAGGCCTTGTTGAATTGTTTGTCTTTCTTGTCTCTGCCAAGGGTTAAATTGTGTGAGAAGAAATTCTCACAAGTGCAGGTATTGACCCACCCTATCATACCGAGTTTTAGATTCGGCCGAAGGTATTGCCGTCCAACCGAATACAAGATGGTCATTTGTTTCTGGATCACAGAATCTGCATTTGGGGTTAACACAATTTTTCAGCTTCATTTATTACTACCCGAAGGTATTTCTTGTAAACATTATATTTATAAGTAACGGTGTACAAATGGAAAGTTGAAATTGACAATTTTTTTTCTATTTCACTGAAACAGACGTTAAAGACTTCTGTCCTCCCATCTTCCTTTCTTTTTCTCACTGAAACCAAGTAGCATCTACATATGTCAGTTCCGTGTTTTCATGCGGTCAAAACGGAATAGTCCATTACTTGTGTTGTAACCAAGAAAGGGTTACTGAATGAGGAATAACCAAAACGGACGTTGAAAATGAAATGGTAAGCTTTACAAAATACAATACTCGCCAGCGGCGTGAAGTAGGTAAACCACTGCTAGTGGTGAACTACTTAGCATATTACACCCATTTACAATTGTGTCCAACGTATTTACGAGGATTGGGACATACCCATTAGTGTTCATAGGTACGGTATATAACAATTTATGAGGTATTGGCGGAGCGTAACGGTCGTGCGAACTAAGGAACTAACTAATTAACTAAGGGAAGGAGGGATGGAAAACCAGAATTATAATAGAGATTATTATTGTTATTATTATTATTATTATTGCTAAATTGTTCATTAATTACTTAGGACGTACTTTACGCCTTAAAAATACGTCATAAATAATGGACTATTGGCGGAGCGTAACGGTCGTGCGGACTAAGGAACTAACTAATTAACCTAGGGAGGGATGGACAACCAGAATTATAATACAGATTATTATTATTATTATTATTATTATGCTTGCTCCTTTGATCATTAATTATTTAGCACGTACGTTACGCCTTAACAATACATCATAAATAATGGACTATTACATTTTTTTTCGCAATGGAAGGTGTAAAAGACATATCCGAGACGCTGTTTAGTTTCAGTGAGAAAAAGAAAGAAAGAAGACGAATGAAATGGGGAAAAATGTTATTATTGCCGTTGTATAATGTAGGAAATGATTTAATAATGACTTAATAATGTAATAAAAAAAGAAGGAAACAAATAATGTTACCATGGCCATCGAGACTTGACGGGCGAATGACAATATATCAATGGCGGTAATAATTCCGTTCTCGATCTGTCCATTTTTGTCCATAATCGAGTAGTTGATCTCCGAGACGCCATTCTTAGCTCGTACTTCACCTTCCATCCGACATTTTCTAAGAAAAAAAGGAAAGAAATCTGTTAATTGGTTAACAGATAACATCTAAACATATACATAGTGATACTACAAAATAAAAAATAAATAGATAATACAAAATAATGCATTCCATTTGTTACTGAAAAAATTTCAATGAATAAGTTATATCTAAATGAGAATATATATATTTGGGGAAGATTGTTCTGTAAAATATTTTTCTCCTCTGGATATTAATTAGAAAAATTCAATTATAGTTTTACACCGAGCGGCTGCGAAATGTAACTGTTACTATAAAACCGTAAATTCACATAAAAGAAAAGAGATGGAGCCTTCATTTTTTCATATGAGGAACAATTTTTTTTTTTTGCGCTAAAGCATTTCCCAAGATCTATGGATAATTTTAAATGTATCTCACTGATATCAAGAGATTGGTATGGAATAAAAGTACCTGAGAAAATTGTTTAAGTTTCCATACGGCACATATTCCATGACCAATGCGATTGGCTCCCTTTGAGTACAGGCGCCGACCATGGAAACAATATTTGGATGACAACCTATTCGTTTCATAAGATTCAATTCTGCGAGCAGATCCTCCTTGTACGACAATGGAGCACTGTCTGTGCGAAAGACAAAACAGAAAGGAAAGTTTTTAAATTATTCATACAAGGTTAATATTCATTAAAACAAAATCATTAGACAGAAAGAAAGAAGGAATGAAAGATAAAGAAGAAATAAGGAGAGGAAGAAATACAGTAGAATCCCTGACAACTGGACTAAAAGTCCGTCAGGATATGAGGAATTGGTGACAAAGTCCGGATATGAGGGGTTAGATTTAGATTAAAATAAAAGAACTGAAATCAGGTTTAACATTTATTTTCAATGTTTTATAGTGAAAAACAAATAAGCTAATGATGAGTGAAATATAACGGAATTGATTTTAAGGAAAAAGAAATAAATTATGTAATCTTAATGAAAATTCATTAAATTAAGTATGCCACGTATGCAAAACAAATAATGTAACGAGGATTTTTTAATCGCTGTTGCATGATGATTATTTCTCTTCTAATGTCATTCTCAACTTTTTCTGCATTTCGTTTTGCTTTTTTCCTTGAAATTTTTTAAACGAAAGACACTTTTTAACTCTACGAGCGTTATTGCAATCGTCATAGCTGAATGCTGGCTTTCTTTCCATAAAATCGACAACCTTTTCAATAGCTTTTTCAATTTCAGTCTAAGTTTCATCACAATCATGTTTTTTTTTATTTCCTTGTTCATTGTGACAATGTTGACTTTCCTATGTTGAACTCAGTCATTAGTTACAATGAACTTTCACCAGCGTCTAGTCTGTTTAAAATTTCCACTTTTTGCGATAACTCCAAAGTTGTTCTTTTCCTCTTATTCCCATCATCTTTTGCACCAATACAAACCATTAGGGTGAAATAAGCATAAGCAATTATCGAAAGTAAATTTCCTGAAAAACAGAAATTCAAATCAGTTACATATCACCCAAATAGTTCAAATATACACATCAAACTCCTGTCCGGATATGCGGGCTTCCAGATATGAGGCACTCCGGATATGAGGGATTTCGGATATGAGGGATTCTACTATAAGGAAAAGAAAGAAAAAGGAAGAAAAAAGAAAAAAAACCCTGAAAAATAATAAAATCTAAAAAAATGTAAAAAAATAAGAAAATGGTTCAAATAATTCGTTCACAAACCTTTAACGACTTTGATGGCCACTTTTCTTTGGTCGTAATATCCGGTGACCACTTTTCCGAATGCACCTTGTCCGAGCGGGGTGCTAAACTTGAGCTTGTCGGGATCCAGTTCCCACTCATCAGTTACAACCGGGGCTTCAGGAGTGTAATCCATTTTACCTATCAAAAAAAAAAAAAAAAAAAAATGGATGCTCATAATGTCGAACAAGACAAGTGTTATTTTTACTTTTAGAATCTATCTATCTATCTATCTATCTATCTATCTATCTATCTATCTATCTATCTCTACATTAATCTGTTCATATCTGTGTACCCATCTGTCACTATCTATCTATCTATCTATCTATCTATCTATCTCTATACATATCTATATATCCATCTAGTTAGCTCTCTATGTCGCTCTCTCTATATATATCTGACTGTCTGTCTCTCTGTCTCCGTATGTTTATATCTACCTTAATCAGTTAATATCTGTGTATCTGTGTAATTCGTTCCATATCTATCTATCTATCTATCTATCTATCTATCTATCTATCTATCTATCTATCTATCACTCCAAAGGAAAGCACACACATAGTCCATCAGATATACATTGAAATATTTCAATCCTATTCAGTCCCCTCCCAAAACCTACTGAAAAACTGACCATAC